ATTTTATAATGCAATATTATTTGATTCTATGTTGTCAGCTCAATTGAACAAGTAAATGATTCTTTCCGAAACTATTTTATTATTCGCCAATCAAATAAAATAATCTTTTTCATTTTATTTTGCATTTTTGTTTCTACAAAGTTTCTCTTTCCATTTGGAGTTTCACCTAAACTTCGAACTGTGCTGAAATTAATTTCTTATTTTATTTCAATAAATTAATTCAAAAAACAATAATATTGGACAAGAGATAAGGTTATTTTTCTTGTTATTTTTCAAGAAACTGATGCAAATGATTCGTTATTTCAAATTGTTATTTTTTTTTATCTCTATTTACCTGGTTTAACCGACTACGTTCCTCGAGATATTTTCGTCCTCATCGTGGATTTATTTTAGTATAACTTTTTCAATTCTTCAAATATATAAATTCAATCTTGCACAGCTCGACACTTACCTCGCACTATATGACTGTTGGCTCATAACAAAAAATGTTACATAGGAAATCATGTGAACATTTTTGTCCCAATATAAACGACATTTCAGGTGATTAAAATATACAACAATTCCTCAAATCTTGATGTACGATTTCTTCCTGTCATTTTATCGAACTTTGAATATCAGGCTTAGACGACGAGAGTTCAAGATCATTATATTGCCTGATATTCAAAGTTCAATAAATTAGCGAGAGAACGATCTACATATATACACTGAATTTAATCATGGAAAAAAAATCTTTCAATATTCTACATGCTATGATAGTTAACAACATTTTCGAGAAGGAAAGTGTCTTCGTTTTGCTACATAGTGTGAAAATATCTCAAGATAAAATGAACTATGAATTTTAAAATAGACATATCAAACTTCGAAATGAACCCATTGTTGCACGATTTCTTTCTTTTTTATAAAATTGCAACAGTTCCAATATTTAGTGTTTGAATAAATTTAGGCGTGCACGTGTGGTCTGAAGAAAGACCAGAGCAACGAATTGCTTTGAACACATAAAATATTCGAAATTTATTTGAAAATTCGATATGTGTATGTGTCACGTTTGTTAGTCAAATTTACTCGAAGCGGAAGTTCATGAAATTCAATGTGACACAATCTTATTGTTAGCACAGTTAAGGACCAGTTCCGGTCTGGAATAACGGAGCGTAGGACCTACGACCCTTGAATAATCCAGAGCATGTCTGATAGATCTTGTAAGTTAGGTGTCATGACAATGTGTATTTTGCGACTTCGAGTTTGTTACTAATTGGTATTTGAGCTCGCCGTAAACCGAGTATAATTTCATGTCCTCCCGAATTTGGTCGGCGATGAAGTGAAATACGCGCTGGCAAAGTGAAAAGTCAGGATCAAGTTTCTCCATGGTTATTTAGCAACAGAATTGAGCAAATTTTGCTTGTAGTAAGCCAAAGAATAATAATTTGAAATACTGAAAATATCGTATTTTATGTCAAAATCAAATAAATCATTTTTATTTTCAACATTCCGTTTCTGTTTATTTCAACTTCCGAACACTTTCGAATAAAATAATAAATAATTTGGGCTTTATCGTTAGTTGAAATTTTATATATTATGTTTTGTGTATACTTAAGTTATACACAAAATATTTTGAAGCACATCGATTTGTTCTCAGAATTTTTTTAATTTTAATTGTATTTTGATAATATGTCTGAAATACCATAAAGGAAATTCGTAATTTCTAACACAGTTTGCTATGTTGACATAACACAGTCAGAAATTATTTCAAATAATTCAACTTAGATTTATTTAAATAGACATGGAGACATTTGAAATATTAAATAAAATAAAAAAATCCTACTAGTCAAATAATAAAATAATTCGACGGAAAATCATTTTTTTTTTTACAACTAACACATAATTATTTCAAACTAACATTGAGTCAAATAAAATAAATAACACAAAAAAGAATTGAGAATAATTTTTTCAGAGTGTCCATCACCAAAACTAATCAGAATTTGCTCAGAAAAACATGCAACTAAAATTGGAATTCGGTCAAAATGTAAAAAAATTATTTTCTCCGATCGTTTATTTTCTAGTTGCATCGATCAAATCGCCTTAATAACCGCATCAATCCCCATGTTCAAGCAATTCGCCTTGAAGAGTACTCGAAATTGATTTCCACGGCTTGAATTTACTTCTAACCCAGATACCGATATTAACCCAGGTTTAATTTAATTTTCAGGCAGTTACAGGAATTTTAATACCCTTGCAGAATTTCGATTTCGACTGTTCGATGTTCGATACGGGATTAATATTAATATTAGTATTATAACACGCACACTGTAAGTTCTGAACTTTCATTGTCGCCATTGACGAATTATATTGATGTTCTGACTTATATCATTATTGTTACGTGTAGTAAAGCACGTTTACATAAAAATTTAATTACAATAAATAAAATATTATTATAAACAATAAAATATAACTATAATAAATGTAATATAATAAATGAAATATAATTATAAATAATAAAATATAACTATAATAAATAAAATATTATTATAAATAATAAAATATAACTATAATAAATAAAATATTATTACAAATAATAAAATATAACCAGAATAAATAAAATATTATTATAAATAATAAAATATAACTAGAATAAATAAAATATTATTACAAATAATAAAATATAACTAGAATAAATAAAATATTATTATAAATAATAAAATACAACTAGAATAAATAAAATATTATTATAAATAATAAAATATAACTAGAATAAATAAAATATTATTATAAATAATAAAATATAACTATAATAAATAAAATAATAGATTTTGAACTTCTACAGTCACATTTGATTCGGAGAAAATTTTTCGGAGCAAATTCTGTTAAAATTTTTAGTTACCAATGACTAAATTAAATATAATACATAATTTTAAAACAAATGTAAGAAAATTCAGTTTATTTACAAACTAAATTCAGTAGAAATTATTATATAATCTTTATTTATACTGAAAATGAATATTAAAAATGTATGTTAAAAAAATTTCCTTTCCAAGAGATTTTAAGAATCTATGTATTGCATTTCTTATTTATATCTTTCTAAATTAATATTTGCAAATAAATTTAAATTATATTTTTTAAATATTTTAAATACTTATATATTTTGAACACGTTGCGAATGGATCATTGCAGAGACGTTACACTTCCAGAATAATTTTTTATATATTTTGTATATTTTTTAAATATGTTGCGAACATCATCATTGTAGTCACACTGCTCTTCTAGAATAATTTCATTACCAAACATATTTTCGAAACTTCATTAAAAAATCATTTTTTAACATTTAAAGGTCGTATTTAAAATCAAACATCGTGAAACGAGACCAGAATATATCCGGTATATCCGCGTGCTCTTTCGTTCCATCTTTTTAAAAGTATTTTCCTGTCACCACTCTCGTTCCACTTAAATGCATTTTCCTCTCGATTCGGTCTGGTGGTCGCGACGCGTCGAATTAAAATTCTCACGCGTCCTACGCTTCGTGCAGATTATATCAGCCAAGTGTTGCCACGATACGGGTTTCCCGAATAGAATTTGCTTTCATTTCTTTCTCTAGATTGTTCCAATTTTTCTGAAGAGGGCGGACATAGAAGTATAGAATATAGAAGGATACGTATAGAACATAGTAGAAAGTAAGAAAATGATTCAATCTTGCTGCGGTCTTGCGTCACTTTTTCGATCTTTCCTTTGTTTTCCAGTAATTTTATAAATCAGATTGCAAATGTTAGCAGGTTGGAAACTTGGAGTAGCAATCGATACAAATGCCAAAAGAAATAGAAACCTTTTTTCTTAGTCTAGAAGAATGTATTCCACGCAGAATAAGATAAAATAAAAATAATGTTGAAGCTTAATTTTATCAACGTGTCAAAATGGAAAATGTGATTGAAGACGAAAGTTAATATAAATTTCATTAATGTAATTTATCGTTCTTCTAAATCTGTAAAGTGGATAAATTGAAGTTGATTACAAAATTCGTAAAAGCGAATTTTTTTGTTTATAATTTCTGATATTCGAACAGCTTATCACTCCCCAATTCTTCAATTATTAATATATAAAATCCACGATGATATCGAGATTAGATTATCTTTGAAATGATAGAAACAAAACGTTCGCAGAATATTTTCTTTAAAAATAGATCAAAGTACATTATTTTTCCATAAACGATATTCCAATAGCCATTCAATAGATTCCCCAATAGATTTCTAAACTTTATGGTTGTAAGTACTTCGTTAAAAGTGATTCCAAACACTTGAATTAATGTCGAAACAAATATTTAACTCGAAATCATTACAATAATTCTATATTCTCTATTCTTCAATAGAACTATAAAGATATATTTTTATAACTTTCGATTCAAGATTACATATAATTCTCTTGGAACGAGAAATGAGTTTCCAAGTAGAACCATTAGAAAACTCTTACTTTTCATATTCTAAAAATTGAAACAGGCGATATTACTTTCCTCTCAAGAACGTATTTTAAGTATTTAAAGTCTAAATTATGAAATCCCTCGTTAAAGAAGACCGCAACAGGATTAGAGAAATGCATTATGAGTCATACGACGACGCAAAATGATTCGAGTTAATAATGAACAATATTCCTAACGATGAGCTAACTTTTGAGCCAACGTGTGGAAACGTACACATAAATTCAACCAACTATTCAAAGAAATCGGTCATCAGTGCGACGAAAAGTTATCCCATCATCAATGTTACAAACACCAGAGAAATCGTAGACGAACCTTGAAAATCCGTCTACGACGCGAGTACACGCAGTCTTGACTGGCAGTTCGAAACGGGACTCGAAAAAAAAAAGACAAAAAGAAAAAAACGAGGACGTGCCCTTGATCTTGGAGCTTTGTCGCTGTACACTTTACACAAGGAAACGTGCGATGTTTGGGTAAGGTGGATCGTTCCAAAGGAAACACCGATAAAAATCGCAAGGGGATGGAAAGAATCGAAGTGACTCACCGCGTTCCGGTGTGGCCATTGGAACGTCGTCCGCTGCTTTCTTCGTCCTCGTCGTCCTCGTCGTCCCTCGAGGTCGCCAATGAGTGGGGAACAGAAGAGGGAGCACTGCTACCGGAGTCGGGCCCAGGGCCCATCCTCGAACCGGAAGCACCGCTGCAGCCCGCCGAAGACGTCGACAGACCACCCCCTCCCTGGCCCTCCTCGTTCTCCGCACGATCCACCTGAACAAATTTTGTTTCGAATGATCTGAATGGATCAGTCTCTGTTGTCCAACAGAACAGTTGTTCGGTGTCATTGACACTAGAGTTACCAAAAGTGGCCAGAATGACCCATTTATGTATAATAATTTTTATATAATGTGAGTAATACAATAATAATTACAACATAATATAAGGATAAATTAAATAATAATTATAATATAATACAATAATAATTTCTATTTGACTTTTTATAGATTACTAAAAATGGTCAAAATGACCCATTTATGTATAATAATTTTAATATAGTATAAATAATATAATAATAAATATAATGATTATAATATAATATAATAATAAATATAATAATATAATAATATAATAATAAATATAATTATAATATAATATAATAATAATTTTTGTTTGACTTTTTGTAGATTACCAAAAGTGGTGAAAATGACCCATTTATGTCTAATAACTTTAATATAAAATAAATAATATAATAATAAATATAATGATTATAATATAATATAATAATAAATATAATAATTATAATATAATATAATAATAATTTTTATTTGACTTTTTGTAGATTACCAAAAGTGGTGAAAATGACCTATTTATGTATAATAATTTTAATATAATATAAATAATATAATAATAAATATAATGATTATAATATAATATAATAATAAATATAATAATTATAATATAATATAATAATAAATATAATAATTATAATATAATATAATAATAATTTTTGTTTGACTTTTTATAGATTACCAAAAGTGGTCAAAATAACTCATTTATGTATAATAATTTTAATATAATATAAATAATATAATAATAAATATAATAATTATAATATAATATAATAATAATTTTTGTTTGACTTTTTGTAGATTACCAAAAGTGGCCAAAATGACCCATTTATGTATAATAATTTTAATGTAATATGAATAATATAGTAGTAATTATAATATAATATAATAATAATTATAATGATTATAATATAATAATAATTATTTCTGTTACACACTTTATAGATGTAAAACAGTGTATTTTTAAAGATTTAAACAATTTTTCGTAATATATATGAATAGAAGTTTGTATATTCCATTCCATCATAAAAGTCTCTGATGGAAATTTTATGCTTTAATCAGTATTTTTTTATTATTATGTGTCTGTAAGTATATTTGTAAGTTTGCTGAATTTTGATACTTCCAATGCCCTTCAGTAAAGAATACATTATGTATCATATGTAAGTAATAAAAACGATTAAATAATTAATTTGTATTTCAATGAAGCATATTTCAGTTTTGTCGTCGTTTAAAAAATAATAACTAGAGAAAATTACGAATTTCACACTATTTTATGAATGATAAAAGTATTGATAGCTAAATATTGAATGTTTAAATTCAACTCAGGGAGTTATCGACCATTTAAAATTTAAAAAAAGACATCTCAATATTTATTAAACTAAGAGGAAACATACCTACTCAGAAAAGAAACGAAAACGGAATGAATAGAAGATGCAAAAGAAAGGTTAGAATTAATAAAAAAATGAAACTCTGAAAAATAAAGGAAAATATAAAATTTAAAGTAGCAAAAGATGAAGTTTCTCGCGCTTAATATTAAGTCTTAAAACAATCAGCATTAAAAGGATTTTTAAGAATAATTAATAATCAAGAAATGTGATCACTACAATTATTTCTCACGATAAAAAATTATCACAGAATATAGATAGTCAAATTAATAAATTTTAAAAATACAATTTCTGGTGCTATGTCATTCTAACCACTAAATATAAATTGACCAGTTTGTCACAAAGCATTCAAATAGCCATAAAATCATCGTTCAATTGAATTCATATATAATGGTGAACATATATTGTCATGTGCGGTTAACAAACTAACCATTGTGCGAATAAATAAAATTCACACAATGGTTAACTCGTATTGTAAATGCATTTGGAATCGTTAAACGTGGAAATCCATCAGGTTTTTTTTTTTATAAACCGATGCCAGTATATCTTTCAAATAAATATGTCAAAAGTAAGTTCATAAATGTTATATTAAAAATTATTCAAACTGAGAGTATATTATTTTCTTATTTATATTTTTAAATAAATATGTCAAATAAATAAGTTCATAAATGTTATATTAAAAATTATTCATAAATGTTAAATTAAAAATTATTCAAACTAAGAGTATATTATTTTCTCATTTATTATTTTTAAATAAATATGTCAAAAGTAAGTTCATAAATGTTATATTAAAAATTATTCAAACTGAGAGTATATTATTTTCTTATTTATATTTTTAAATAAATATGTCAAATAAATAAGTTCATAAATGTTATATTAAAAATTATTCATAAATGTTAAATTAAAAATTATTCAAACTAAGAGTATATTATTTTCTCATTTATTATTTTTAAATAAATATGTCAAAAGTAAGTTCATAAATGTTATATTAAAAATTATTCAAACTGAGAGTATATTATTTTCTTATTTATATATTAAGTTTTGCCTCGATTTTTCGAATTTACGACACAATTTATTTTTTAATTTTGAAAAATATTTGAAATCTGTTGTTTGGCCTTCTCACGAAGCTAGCTGTCTTGCATTTTCAATAATAATGATGCGTTATAAACTTGCAGCTCAATAAATTGGCAATCAGTGAACGAAATTTCTCCTTGAACCTAATTTCCCCCATCTCTCTCACTCTTCGGATCAACTTGGTGAGCAGACGTTCGAAAGTAAGACGACTTATAAACGGAAATCTGCCAAATTCATCAGTTATTAAGTAAGAGAGATGAATACGCGAAAATATTCAAATTCTTCGAACAAAAGTTTCGCAAAGTTTTAAGTAACAAAGTTTAATAAATTCCTATTATACAATATGTTTCAAATTTAATTTGTAAAAGTGGACTTATAAACTAAGAAGAAAATGTCCTTTAGAGATTTACTCATTTTTTTTTTCTCCATTTCGGAGAAAATCAAGAAAGAAGATAAAACTATTTCTTTTTTATTGTAAAAGTTAATAAAATGCATTAAAAAATCCGCAATTCATTGGTAAAAATGTAGAACAGAGTAAAATTTAAAATTCCACTGGAATTTCATCTACCAAAAATTATTGCTTCTTGTGGAAATTGCTTTTACAAATGTTTATTATATTTCCATGAAAAAGAGGAAACACGAGCCTCTAATTTTCTGCACTTTTTTTTTCTCGTCAATTATTCATGCATTAAGAGACCAATTTTTCCATTAGCCAACAATTCGCTCTACTTTTGTAATAAAAAAGTAACCGCAGGATATATTCGAAGCCACGTGTGTCCATTCACAGAGCAATTTAATTTTTAAATGCACAATGTCCCTTGGCAACATACATATCTAACAGATGGCACATACACATAGAGTGTACAACACCTATTATATATAACATATTTGAAATGTATTTATACTTTCAGAATAAAACATATTGATATAAAATGAATATTAAAATGGAATATCTGTTCATAAGTAAGCTATTTTCTGTTTATAATTGTTACATCAAAATTTGAGTGTTTCAAGTGTAATTAGCTGTTATTTCCTTTTCATTGAGTAAATTAATATTATTAATAAATTGATAACTAATTGATAAATAAATTTCCTTTTCATTGAGCATATTAATATTATTAATAAATTGATAAATAATTGATAAATAAATTTCCCTTTCATTGAGCATATTAATATTATTAATTAATATTATTATTAATATTAATATTCTTAAATCATTCACATAATCTGTTTTATAATTTCTACATCATAACATAAGCATGTGTTCAAATGTAATTCGTATTTGTTACTTCTTCTTCATTGAGAATGTTTTATACTAATATTCTCGTTATTATATTAATACTAATCATTTGCACCATAAAATATCCTGCAAATAACATCTGCTGTATATCACCAAACGCGGGACAATTTGCATGTAACAATTGACTAAAAATTTTATATTTATTAATATTTCATATTATTAATACCATTAAATATAATATTTAATATCACCAAATATTACATATAATAATATTAATATACGTACAATTAATATAATTAATATAAAAGTAGAATTTGCAAATTTAACTATTTATCTTTCCAATGTAATTTTTTTATCGTTGTAACAATTTGATATCAAGTTGGAAAAATGAGGGATAAATGATAGTTCAAAATTCTTCAACAGGCAGCTCAACATATCGTATCTCGAACCGACACATAAAGTCAAGTATTGTAATATCTCAATGAAGATTAAAAAATTTGTCATATGCATCGAGCAGGTAATCTTCTTGATATAAAAAATCAAAGAAGCTCGTGATAGAGTATTTCAGGTAATGATTTGGTAAAAGATCCCTAGATGGATCAGAAAGAACGACAGTATTCGCAGAATACTTTATTAACTAGTATTTACACTTAGTGGTCATCACTTGATGACAGAATGAAAACAAAGCTGGTTGATATCTCGCAAGAAATTTCTTCAATGTAAGCTCTTCCTCTAAAAGAAGTTTCAGAGGAAATTAATCTTTAGGAAAGCCCTTGGCATAGACGAAGTATCCCCAAAAATGTTGAAGGAACTACTACTTACCACCCATTGTCTCTGAGTTTCTTGGAAAACTTCTACTACAAAGAATATAAAATATTCTCCCAAATAATGTCGAATGAATATTTTTCCTCGGTTTGGACGTGGGAAAAGTCACTCTTATATAGGACAGTAGACATTGAACAAATTAGGCGTGAAAACGTAAAAAGTATTGCACGTCAGACATCAGTCAAAATGTTTGACTAGATTTTGCGTTTTAGATTATAAGATAGAATATGAAATTACATAATTAAATTAACAGAGTACGTTTAAGCTACTGCAATTTCATTAAACAGATAGAGAATTCTAAAAGGAAACAAAGTGAATTAAAACATGTGTTAAATAATAAAATAAAATCTGAGGTTTCACAAAGCAACTTATTAGTCTGTATTCTTTACAGCAAATTGT